GGTTTAAACACTTTAGAACCCTACACACAGATATCTTCACACTATTACGATTCACTCGTTATAACTGTCTTCGGCGGCTGCTATATTTCAACTGACTCCTGAGGCAGTGTAGTTCTCTTATAAACCCTCAGCCAGAAAACGGGAAAACGTCCCGCTTCCTTGTTGCCTAGTTACCGTGTTTACGGTTGTTGCCGGGAACGCTATCGAGAGTTGTTAATTGTTGCATAGCAACCACGGCATCCCCCTCTACGTCACTGTAGTCACCTGCCACGTCACAGTGGGAAGAGCTGTCGTGTTACCGCGGTGACCAGTACCGTCACCCTATCAGCGGCAGCGCTGTTACGCCATGCTTGCAGTGTTTTAAGGGGGGGGGGGCGTCCTCCATAGCGCAAATACGTCACATTATATACACACTATATATGTCACTAGAATTACAGCACAAAGAGTTTTCTGTAGCTACAATTAATTATACCGCTATCGCTGATCTACATGCTCTAATGATTCTGGAACATGATAAAAGTGAAAACTCTTTCCCACATTTTTCAGAACAATATACCAAATTCTTAAGTTTACTATAAACGAAAGTTAAAGAATATTATCTTTGAATTATATTATGTACAACTATTTATTTGTAAATCTGAGATAATGGAAGGAACGGAATTAAGTTATGGGAAAAGTAGGGCACAGCTTACAAAAGCTTATACACTTGCAAGTGCAGAGTAAACCTCTGTGAATCTTAAAATATAATACCTGCCCCTTCTGTGTTGACTCTAGCATTAATTGTATAACTTTGATGTCGTATTCTCCATGCTTTCTATAACGCGTAAAAAATGTTTGTAGCCATTGGCCAAGTAGCTGATATTCCTAATTACATGTACAGATGCAATTAATAGCTAAGCATATGAAAAAAAAATATTGCTGCTCGCCGGTGTATTCACGCACATACTAACAGCTGGCTTGTGAGTTTAATACCGAAAGGTGTTTTTATTTTAAAAGAATGCATATATATCTTTTTATTTACAAAATAGGCCTACACAATTCCCATCTGGCATTGTGAAAAATAATTGTAGACACAAAAAAAGCCTAGGCAATGCCTAGTCCTCTGTAACACTTTTGTATAAACACCTTGTTCTATTACAGCGGTCTCCTCGCAATTCTTAATATATATCTTAATTTAAATCTGAGAGTATGTTATTATTATGTTGTACATTTACTTCTTTTTCTTTTCTTACATATATATTTTTAAATAAATATAAGAATATTGTTTATGAAGTAATAGACGCCTTTCACAAATAATTGTACTACCATCTTTCGACAAGAACGAGGTATGATCTATTGTCTTTGATTTTAGTTGCGCTGATCCGGAAGAAGTATATTATCGATGTGATCCGTGGTGTATATGCTCTTTGGAGGCTGGTACGTGGTGTATTGTATGCAAGGTTTAGGTTTGTAAAAATGGTAAGTCAGTAGTTGTTAGTAATACAGTTTTATCTACACAATCTTGTTGTTTGGCGCAATTTTTTGGCCATAATTTTTAACGCGACTGAATTATTTTTTGAGTGAGTGTGTATTTGAGAATATAACTATCTTTTTGAGGTTAAGATTTGTGTTGTGCTGTATTGAATTTAAACTCCGCCCATGCGTGGTTGTCTGGTTTAAAAATTTGGTATTCTGGAAGAGTAGTGGTATTATTTGTTGGTTATGTTAATTTTTATAGTCCAGAGTTTTCAGGAATATGTTACGTTCTGAGCCAACTGCGGTTGGTAGCCTGAGAGATTATTTTCTGTATGGATGTAGCACCGTGCAGAATTACTACCTTTATATTTGAAACATGTTTTATTACAAGGAGTTTCTAAACGACATGCTAAAAGCCTTAAAAAGTGCCCCATATTTGAAGCGTGGATGCAATTCGTAGGATTATGGTGCTCGGTCATCACGTGCTCTTGGGGGGGGGGCGCATTTGTGTACGTTATTTGAAAGACCGAATGTGGTTTTCTGTTAGTTTTGATACTTCATCATAACTGTTCATTGAGTTGTGTGTAGTATAAGGTAGACTACATTTTTATTATGTAAGGTATGATTTTATGGAACAAATAAAATATAAGTTGCATTAGTGGAGTGTGTAGTCCCAGCGACTGTCAGCAAACACTGGCCACTATAAGGGAAGGTGATTAAAGGTACTGCTAGCCAGTAAGACATCAAGGTTTAGTATCTACTGCACTGAAACATAGAGCATTCCTGCTTGATTGATAGGCTGTGCTTTCCGTGACTTATATGAGCTTTTGTCTGTAATTCTAGTATGGTAACACATGTTTCATTAGTTCAGAATGGATGTTATGTATAGTAAGTGGAAGGACAAATTGAATTCGGAAATGTGTTATTATTGTCTTGTGCAGTTGTGCCTGAGGATGTAATGTTATGTTCATAATGCTACAGATGTTACTGATTCATTGCAAATAACTTTTACTGATGTTTTGAGAAGAGTGATTTTTGCATCTTATACATAATATAAAACTACATTACAGTGATACAGTATGGATGTTTTGACCATATTAATGCACTGTGTAGGACTGGTATTTTAAACAGTTTTTGCCTGCTTAATCTCTTGATACTTAAACATACATAGAATTTTATAGGACTGCAGCCTATTTTAAGTACATGTTTGTGAGGTGATTATGAACTTGTGTTAGGAAAGACTTTAAAATGTAATGGAGCATACTCACAAATTGCAACAGATTTGTAGGAATACTGAGGGAGAGAATCTGATAGCCCATATCTGAGGTGCAAATAATGTGACGTTTGGGTTTGAATGTCTCCTTTCTAGTTACAAGTTGAGATATGCCTGGCCCTCAAATGTTATGACTGTGGGCTAATTGCCAAATCATCATCTGGCCAGTGTCCATAGGCACATATATTTAAGTGTGGGCATCGTTATCAAAATATAAAAGTGGGAACAGCAAAAGGAACATGTCAACCTTTGCACATGCTACCATTATCACAAAGGTGTTAGTCACTTTGAGAAATTTGAACATTCCTACACACAAGTAGAGAAACAGAACTAAAGTCAAGTAACGTAACGTGTATTGGCGTGTAAGAGCAAAAGCATTGGTGTTACTAACTTCTATCCTAGGTTGGCACCCCTGAATACATGCAAGAGTTATGAGCATCAGGAGTCCTCCTGGGGCTAAGGGTCTATTTACAAATATCCGTGACGTGTCAGTACCGTGTCATTTCAGTTTCAGTAACATCTGATACATATCAGTGACAGCTATACACACTATCAGTATCATTTCAGTAGTTCGAAGTCAGTGATTTCCGAGATGACAAAGTTTATGGACATTGAATTGGCAGTGATTGCAATAATTCTGGATGAAGAGGAAGAGGAACAGCGTGAGGTGATAAAACAGAAGTGGGTACATGAGGCATGGGTGAAGAAGAGAACGTTATGGAGAATTCGATACCCTGTATAAGGAACTAACTGATGAGATGAAATTTTTTGGATGTTTCAGAATGTCTGAAAATTGTTTTAACATATTGCTGAGTAAAATAGAAATTCGTTTAAAAACATCAAGAGACCTGCTGGAGAAAGGCTATAACACTGCTATAACATCTGCTTTCATTTCTTTTCCTATTGTATTCCAAATATCAGTTTTGAAACTGCTCTCCATGTACTTTGGCTGCGATACATTATAAAGAACACGATAACTGCAAACGAGTTCAATAAGTTGTGCGTCATTCATTTTTCTTCACAAACTCCACATCACAATGTGTCTGTGAAACAAGAAAAATAGCGTTGGCGGTGGTACACAATTTCATGGAACAGATACTGCACTGATACTGACACCTGCAATACGGAACTGTGCGGGAGATGTGTGGATGCGTCCATAATGTTCAAAGAAATGATACGAATCATCATTGACACTGATGAAATTTCAAGGAACTGACACATCGTGGATATGTGTAACTAGACCTTAAAGGGTGGCTGTTGTATAAGGCTGACAACCTGACTGCCATCTATGAGCCGATTGTCTAGAAAATGTGGGAGCCTCGAAGTGACACAACCTTGTGGGCCCCCATGGCCTGTTAACAGGGATAGCTTTACCTATTTACATAACAGGAGGAGAGAAAGTGGTTCCCAGCTCTGTACATTAAGACATGGAGTGGAGCCAGGTTGACAGTATTCTGCACCTGGGCATGTTAATGTAATTCAGATAGTAATGTTGAGTGAGATGTCAGGTTCTGAGAGTTACATCAACAGGAATTTCCTTATTAACAAATCGTTGCTGCATTATAGTGTTTCTGAACTTGTCTGTCTTAGTGGTAATAGTAATCTCTATATTTTTGGTGCACAGATGTTTCATAATGTTTGCACTTATGACAATTTGGGTGTAGTGTTATTTAAAGATCACAGTGTGACTGCTGCAAAGCAGTTGTAGATCCAACAGATTCTTTTCAGTACGTTAAGGTTTTTATAGTGCAGTCTAACTATGGCAGTGTTATTTTTGTGCATGTACATAATAAAGTGTAAAAATCTGCCCCTTGGAATACAGAAGGCATTTATTCTGGACAGTTTGAATAATAATAATAATTGTCTGCAGATGTACAGACCAGTAGTCATCTACTTTGCTCCTGTAGGTTTTAGAAAATTGTTTTATTGTTTGTCTTACTTTATTGGTTTGTGTTGTCTATGTTTCAGTCACTAGTAATACCAGATAAGTTCCAGCACATTCTTCGTGTCATGGGCACAAACATCGATGGGAAGAGGAAGGTGATGTTTGCCATGACAGCAATCAAAGGTGTGGGTCGCCGATACGCAAACATAGTGCTGAAGAAAGCAGACATTGATCTGGACAAGAGGGCTGGAGAATGTACAGATGAGGAGGTGAGTTGCTTTACATGGCAGCCTGCTGGTTATGTCTCAGGAGCTGTGACTCAAATCAATGCAGACATTTCATTTGGTTTGGTTCTGGGATAGTGTGAACACTGTGACTTCATATCGATTCCTTGTGGATTTCTTAATGGATTTGATTAGGAAATGGCATGTAAAAGATACTGGAGTGAATGATGGCAGGTGTTACTGAAATATAAACTGTTCATAATTTATTTGTGAATGTAATTTTAGTTTTTTACAGTCTGTTACAAACATAACTTCTCCACATTTTGAAAGGGTTTATTAACCCTTTGGCGCGGTCATTTAAATTCTGCGGCCGCGTCTCCGGCGGTAATATATTCAGCCGGCCATTTAAATTTTGCTCGAAAATGATTTATTCATCATTGTTCTTAAATTCTATGAGATAGGAACATGAAACTTTCACTAAAATGATCTTAAAAGGTGGTTTTATAACCTT